GTAGAAGCATAGGAGATGAAAAGTTTCAGTGATAAATAGCAAATTTCTATTTTTATATATACCTACGTTATACACGGTGCACATCCCCACACCTGATCAAGTCCTCATGTGTATCTCCTCTGTCGGATTGCAACTCTGAGGGTATCTTGTATGTATATTTTTCTATACATTCAATTTTTTAAATTTGTGCAGTGTTCCTGAACCTGGAATGGCATGGCAAATCTAACTACTATGGCCGGGAATGTGGCCGTAACACATTCTCTTTTAGCCTGCAAAACTTTACTTTTCAAAAGCCATTCAGTTTTAAGAAACCATTTGGACTGATGGTTTAATAATCAAATCTGATAAAACCCTTTCCTATTCGATAGAACCAAACTGTTTTTAGATCTGTGCAGAACGAAATTTTTGGGAACAACTCTGCCCTTGAACAATTCAATTCCCAAACACAGTGTTATACTTTCAATGAGGTCTACGATCTGTTGTCTAATGTGCAGTGGACTAATCTAATATTCAAATAATCCCCAGAATTTTGAGTTCACTTTTGATTTGTGAATTGGGGCATCCTGCTTGCAGGACTTCCTATTTTGGGAAGTGACTTTATTTATTTATTTTTTTTTTTTTGAGTTATTAGTTTATTATGAAAAACATCTATATAAAGGCACAAAGGTTTTTGAAAATATGTTAGAGACAACATTTTAATGGTCTTGATTCATTTTTATATTTAGATGGACAGTTTAGATGAAAACCTTCTCTCTCACCCTACCTGAATTTCCCGCCCAAAAGTCACAAACTTTGCAACCACCCATCCTTATCTTATCTGTCGCACCTCACCTTTGAAAACACACTCATCCACTCCCTACAAAAAAAGAATTTTGGATTAAGAGAAACTAAAAATGTCGTTTTCAAAACTCTCACCCTTCCTTGCTCTATTAATTCTTTTCTTTCTTTTCTTCCAAACGCTGGCTTTTGCAGCCAAATTGGTAATTTGGCTTTCTCTAAATTTTGAAACCCAGATGGTTGAAAAGTTTTACCTCGCAATTCAATGTATATCCCATAATTATATTTTTTATTGTTTCTTTTGATATCCAATTTATGGACAGTTTTTTTTTTTTTTTTTCTTCTTTTTTTCCATCTAATTTAAGCTTATTAACATATCAAATACAGTCATATATACTGTGCATGGGAGTGCATTCACATGGACTAGAAGATGCAAAGGCTACTGTTAGCAAGGTGAAAGATTCACATTGCCAGTTTCTTGCATCCTTCTTCGGAAGGTATGGAATTTGGTATATTATATCTCTACTTCTGTATATGGGAACAACTATACAAGTCACATTTTTTTTTCCAAATTTAAAAATAATAAAAAAAAACAATAATGACTTGGACTCCATTTTTTTCACACCCTCTTGACCCCCTTTTCACCTGATTGGTCACTTTTTTTTCTTTTTTCTTTTTTTTTTTCTTTTTTCCCTTCTCCTCCAATCACCACCTGTCACGTGTGTAAGGGTGGTGGTGGGGTGGTGATTGGTGGGGGTCTCAATCATCACCCTAAAAAAAATATACAATTTTTTTTTTTGAATTCTTTATTTTTATTTTTAATGAATTCTTAATTACGTAATTTTTTAAAAAAATATTTTTGGTCAATCTTGTGCAGATGAATTTTTAAATAAAAAAAAATGAAAATGCCAAAATAATTAATTGTATTTTTTGAATTTTTAAAAAAAAATTCAGTTCATCTCATCAAGTAAAATCTAAAAATTTAAAACTTTTTAAAAAATATGAAAAAAAAAATCACTAAAAACGAAATTAAATAATTAAAAAAAAAAACTAAACTAAACAACCCCTTATAATGTTGGTGCAGTAGTGAGAAGGCCAAAGAGGCAATATTTTGCTTTTACGCTCGAGATATCAACGGATTTGCTGCAACTCTTGAGGACGAGGAAGAAGCAGCAGCAATTGCAAGTACGTACAAACATGATAAACTCTTGATGATGACGGCGAGGCAGATGTATTTGGAGGTTTTTTTTTTATGATGGTGATGGCTTTTGGTGAGAGAGAATGAGTGGCATCAGAGGCTTTTTGGATTGTGTGTTTCTAACCTTATGATGTGTTTAGTTTTTTTTTTTTTTTTAAAGTTCTGTTTGTTCTTTATTTATATAGATTTTTTTTCAATGTAGGGTTTGGATTTAATTTTCTAAAAAGTTTTGGATCTAAAATAATATTTGATTTTCATAAAATGGGTTTTGATTTTAGTTTGATTTATGAAATGGATTTTTTATGATTTTGAAATAGTTTTTGAAATGGGTGTTGAAAATATATTTGTTTGGTCTAATTTTTCAGAATTATTTTTAGACTGATTTTCGTTTGTTATTACTCAAAATTTTTTTTCCTCCATATTTGAGTTTTTTTGGTACTTTTTAGATATATCAAAATTAGGTGCATTTAAAAAGTAAAATACGAAAAAAATTCATTAAAATAAACGAAAATCCAAATAAAAATGCATAGATTTTTGTTAGAATTTTTTTTATTGTTAGAATTTTTTAATATTTTAGTCAATTTGTTTTACTTTTCAAATATATTTAGATTTGGTGCATTTAAAAAGTACATAAAAATGAGTAAAATACAAAAAAAAAATCCATTAAAATAAATGAAAATACCTTTAAAACAATTTTTGAAAAATCAAACAAAACAATTTATTTTTTCAAATTAATTTCTATTTTTTCAAAAAAAATCAAAAAATAATTTAAAAAATCAAACGAAACCGCTATATCTGTATTATTTTTAATATAAATTCAATAAAATTAATAATTTTAATAAAAAATATTAACTTTGATATTAGAATAATTTGAAGACATTTCATCATAAAATACTTACATTTAATTTTTTAATTTTTTAATAAAAATTTAAATAAATTTAATGAGCTGAATTTTTAATACATATAATAGCATTATAGTAGTTACTCACAAAGCTTAAGAAAATTTGAAATTTTTTTTGAAATGGGTGTTGAACTAAGGGACTCATCGTCACCTCCGCTCTGTGACTGTCCACCACTATTGAAAAAGAAAATCTTAACATTATGTTTTTATAATTTTATTTTTATTTTTATTTTAATCTCATTATTAATTGCACCGTGACTTCAGGTACAAGCATACACTAGTATAAAAATATAGAAAGATAATATGACTCAAATCAGTCAATAAGTTGGCTTTTTTTGCCTTCCCAAAATGGGGGTTTGCTTTTTGTGATTGTATTCTACTTTATTACTCTTGATAAAATAGTATATGTACCTAAAAAGTACAAAATCTCGAATAGTTATATGCTAATCAAAATAACCCAAAGAAATATATGATAATTGTCACTTTACGAATCAGAGACTTTTACAAAGCAATGGAAGCATAAGCTGGCATATGCTTGATTTCCCTCACTATTAATACTGATTGCGGTTCCCTCAAACTCAAAGATGCAATCTAATACTACTTCAAATTAATCTAAAAAGAAATACATTCAAGAAAATGCCTTCCTTGATGTTCGATCCTTGACTGCATTCGAGAAACTGGGGTTCAAATATTAAAAGATATCGCTTCAAATTGCTTGTGGGATGCGTCTTTGAATAGGCAGTAGTAAATCACGAAGGAGAAGCAACCAATAATGCAAATTGGAATGGCAAGGCTTGATGAATGTTGTAATACAGCATATGTGCTTGTAATGAATGCCAATACCATTGCTCCTGTTGCAATCATTAGAAGACCAGCGCAAGAGAATAGCGATGCAGAAGCTCAGTTTTGTCCCCATAATCAGCCGAAGCAAAATAAATCAAAACAGCACAAGTGGATAATATCATGGCCATGGAATCTGTTACGACAAAAGCTTTGAAAGCTGCTTCTCTTGTTAGAATAGCCATGCCTTAATTTGGGTTGGGCCATCGTTGCTGTTGTAGCCACCTAGCATGGTGAAACCAGCTGCGAAAGTCACAGTTGCTATGAGTGTAGCCACTAGCAAATGGGTGTCTCCTGCTTTCCTGATGTCAATGGGTATCGACTTTTTAAATTCAGCGCGTTCTTTCTTCTCGTTTGCTAAAAACTCATTATCTTTGCTAATTACATTTCGCAAACCTAGTGTAGCACCAGCTGCTTCCAATTGTCCTTTTATGAGAACCTGCAATAATCATTCTTCAATCAATTAGGAAAAGATTGTATCTAAATAATAACTTTAGTGAATTAAAGTAAAAAGAAGCCCTGCAATCGTGTGTACAGGGCTTCTATCACTATGCAGTCTGGGTAGGATCGAGGGTTGACATCGATGTACCTTTTGTACAGCTGCGGTTTCAGAATATGTTGATATGTCAAGGGGAGTCTAGTTTCTTCATTAAAGACAACCTTATCTGCTTTTCGATGGTCTATGAGGTCGATTGCAAGTAATCTACCAGTAGCAATGAGGTAGAGAGTATAAGAATTCTAAATAACTCTGTATATTCAATTGTATCAATTTACAAAGGGTTCATCAGTTTATATAGCCCTAAATCTATGACTGAAAAGGGAAATACTAATTGATTCCTATTTACACAATCATGCCATATATACACAACATGCCATATATACAATATATTTACACTCCCGCTCAAACTCAATGTGTTTAGCAGAAAACACTGAAAGTTTGCTAAGAAGAAACTGAAACCAAGCGGTAGTGTGAGTCTTGGTGAAGAAGTCTGCAAGTTGCAAAGCCGAGGAGAAAAAATAAAGCGAGATAGAGTCAGACTGCAGATGCTATCGGACAAAGTAACAATCAATCTCAATGTGTTTCGTCCGTTCATGGAAGACAGTGTTGTGGGCAATCTGAATAGCACTACGGTTGTCACAATAGAGAGAGGTCGGAGAAGATTGAGGTACACCGAACTCAGTCAAGAGACAATGAAGCCAAACAATCTCAGCAGTGGCATGAGCCATAGCATGGTACTCAACCTCGGTAGTGGAACGCGCAACAACAGTCCGTTTCTTTGCCTTCTAAGAGATCAAAGAATCACCAAGAAACATACAGAAGCCGAAAGTGGACTTGCGATCAGTGACATCACCACCCCAATCAGAATCAGCATAAGCCACCAAGTCCAAAGAGGAAGTAGAAGATAACAGTGAACCCTGAAATATAGTGCCCTGGAGATAGCGAAGAATCCAAACCAAAGCAGCCCAATGGGTAGAGCAAGAAGTAGAGACAAACTGGCTAACCACATGAACAGCATAGGCAAGATCATGACGAGTAACTGTTAAATAGACTAAGCAACCCACGAGCTCTCAATATAACGTGGGATCATCCAGAGGGACACCATTAGTAGAGTTAAGCTTCATATTAAGCTCAATAGGTGTATCAAAAACCTTAGTATCAGTAAGATTGACACAATGAATAACCTCATTAGCATACTTGGCCTGAGACAGAAAATAGCCCTTTGGAGAAGAGGCAACCCCAATACCAAGAAAATACCGCAGTGGACCTAGATCATTCATTTCAAAGGTGCGGAAGAGATGATGCTTGACCTCAGAGAAAACAAAAGAGCCAGAACCAGTGATGATCATATCATCTACATAGAGTAGGAGAGCAACAAAACTAGCCGAGGTATATCTCAGAAACAAAGTAGAGTCGAAAGTAGAAGGATGAAACCCAAGCTCGGTAACGACAATCTGAAAGTGATCATACCAAGCACGAGGAGACTACTTCAAACCATACAGAGCACACCGAAGATGACAAACCTATCCAAAGGAGTAGAGAAGACCAGGGGGAGATGGGAAGTCATATGATAAGAGGCACCAAAGTAAAAAATCTAGATAGACGAAGAAATACTTGAAGAAGACCCAAGCAAACCTAAATGAAGAGAGGAAACAATGGAGGCAAACGGTATATGTTGAAGCTGCCCAATCTGAGCACTCAAAGAAGCCAAGTCAGGATCAATAGCCGGAGCAGATGCAGTATAAGCGGCAGGAGAAGCATGGAACTGGTTCAGAGACTGTTGAAAATAGGAGTGCAACTCGGACGGGCTTAATCCAAGCAACCCGAGCCCAGCTCGAGTTTTTTTAGGGCTTGGGCAACTATATCTTGTAATCTGGACAGACCTGGGCAGATTTTTGATGCCCGAATTGTAATTCGGGCCGGGCCGGGCCTGGGCAGAATCAATGGCTAACCCAAGCAACCCGAACCCGAATTGAATTTAATATATTATATAAATTATATAATATATATATCATAAATTATAAATAAAAGAGCTATGCTTATTTTTTATTTTTATTTTGGGTAGTCTTTCACCGTTGGATTAGCATATTTCATGTGTACCATTAGATTAAATCTAAAGAAAAACCTACCTACCTTATCTCTCTCTCAGACTCATTCATTTTTTGTTCAAAGAGTTAAACTTCGAAGAACAGCGGACGTAAATCTCCATAGATGGCTTCACCCCATCCATTTTCGCATTCTCCGGCAGCCAACCGCCTCACAAACTTCCGCTACTGCCCTCCACACGGTGCCAAGTATCGTTATTCTCTTGCTTCTCAACCTTTCTCTCTCCGCTAATCTGCAACCCTATCGTCCTCGATCTCCACCTTCACTTCCTCCTTCTCAGCCTTGGTAGATCCGCCTTGGGTAAAGCTTCGATTTGTCTATTTTGGTCACTCATCATCGTTCGATTACTACTCAAAATCAGTGGATCTATGAGTTTAAATTTTTTCTTAATAGAATTGCAAAATATGTTTATGTTAGTGAAATTTTGTTATATATTTTTTTTGGGTTAGTAAAATTTTGTTCTTGCATCAGGATATGTAACTGATTATATTAATATATATATTATAATTTGGGCTGATTAATAATTATATATATATATATATATATAATTTAGGCTAATAAATATATATATAATTAGCTCTTGCAAGATTGTGACTTCTATATATATATATAATCTTGTGTTTGATTCACATTAAATATATATATATATATATATTTATATAAAAAAAACAGAGCCGACCAAGCCTATGCTTTGCCCTGCTTGCTCTGCTTGCTTGTGTTTGTTCTTGTGTTTCTTTGGTTATGTTATACATATGATTAGATAAAGTGTGCCATATTTATTTATTTGTTTGTAAATATCATTATATTTCTTTCTTCAGTGTAGAGGAAGCTCTTGCAAGATTGTATGTCAGACATGATGGGGGAAACTGATGGAGAAAATAACAAAGAGAAAGATCCAGTTAGGGGTGGTGCAAAACCAACAGAAGTGTAGACACCCCATTTTTGACCGACCTTAAGACTCAGATGTCATCGTTTGTGCACGCGATGATTGCGCATGTTTGTGCTTGTTTTGAGCGCCCGAAGGTCTCAGCTAGGTGCCTTGTTTTTGAGCCTCTTAACCCTTTGTGTTTTGGCCTTGGTTTTTGGGCCAAACCTTGGTGCCTTTGCCTGGAGGGGAAGAGAGGCATGTTGGCCACTTTTTGTAGCTGTAGGCTACTTTTCCCTCTTGTAGGCTACTTGCAGTGGCCGGTAGGCTAGTTTCAGGAGCTTTCGGTTGAGCGCCTTGTCTTGGGGCCTCTTAGCTCTCTTCTTTTTGGTTTGTTTTTGGACCATACCTTGTTACCCCTTGCCTAGAATGAGGGGAGGGCCTGCCGGCCACTTTTCTTCGTTGTAGGCCACTTTAAGTGGCTGGCCGGCCAATTAACTGGCCGACAGCCACTTTTTCTCCTTTTTAGATATTTGTAGATCTTTTGAGCTAGTTGTGGCTCACTGAATTCATCCTCCATACAGTGGGATTGAGCAAGCTTTTTGCTTGCATTGCTCTATATAAGGGGAGCTTCCTTTCCCTTGATAGAGGTTCAGATTTTTCAAAGCTAAAAATCTTCCTCTCTCTAGAATTCTCACTCTCTCTCTCTCAATATTGTGCTATTGAGCCTTAAAGTGTTGTTTCTTCACACTTTTGCACACAAACACCTACTCAAACACCTTCATTTTGGAGCTAAAGTCCATTGGAGCTTGTCTTGAGGTTCTAGCATTGGTTTTGGTCCAAGAATTGTGGTTGAAGTTGTTGTCTTGGTCTTGTTCTTCAAGGGTGAGTAGTTGCCCTCTTTTAGCTTTGTTTTGCTTAAGTGTTTGGCCACCTTTGCATGCTGACTTAGGCCTGGTTGTTAACTACAAAAAGCTCTGATTTTAAGTGTTAAGAAGGTTGTTTAAGGCCTCCTTGGTGTTGGGGGTGTTTCACCCTCTTGTGTGCCTTATTTGCTTGAGGTTGGTGCCTTCTTTTAGAGCCTTGGAAGCACCCTTTGTTTGGCCTTTCTACCACTGAAACTCAGAGGAATTTCAGTGGTAGAAACCATGTTTTGAAGTGCAAAATAGGAGGGAGTGGCCTCCCTTTCTTGCTCTTGGTTTCATGCCTTGTTGGCCTAATTGGTGAGCATGTTTTTCTAGCATGTGTTGGCTTGTTCTCAGCTCATTTTTTGTCTTATTTTAGCATGGCATAACTCTGTTTTGGCCTGGTTAGGTCACCTCATGCATGCTTTTTATACTTGTAGTGTAATCTTGCCTTTTAGCCTAACATGCTTCATGAGTTAGCTTGTTATTCTAGCATGTATTGGCTTCACTCTAGCATGTTTTTTTGGTGTTATTTTGGCATGCTTTAACTATAATTTTAGTTGGTGCGGTCACCTCTTGCTTGGTCTTTGTACTTGTAGTGCAATCCCCCTTGTTGGCCTAACATGCATCATGCTTTATGCCTCTCATTCTAGTTTGTGTTAGCTCTATCTTAGCATGTTTTTGCCACTAATTTTCCATGTCATAACTCTGTCTTGGGTTGGTTTGGTTGCCTCTGGCATCCTTCTTGCACTTGTAGTGCAATTTTGTTCACTAGCCTAGTGTATTTGGTGCTTTAGCCTATTGATCTAGCATGTGTATGCGCTACTCCAGCACATTTTTGGCTATGTTTTAGCATGCTTTAGGTCTGATTTGAGTGTTTTGGGCATGCATGCTTGGCTTTGCATAGCTATAGTTTATTTGGCTTTGCTAATCTTGCACTTTGAGACCTCTAGCATGTCATATTTGAGCTTTTTACATGGCATGACATCATTTAGCATGTTATTTCAGACCATATACCTCTGTCATATTCTTGCATTTATTACCCTTTCATTGTGTTTGAGGGTTGAGCCTTATGCTTCACTTATAAGCCAATACGTATGCACACTTGTCTTGGCTTTTGAGCTTCTGTCTCAGCATGTTTTGGTCTTTGTTTTGGCCTAATTGAGCTCTATTTTGAGCTAGTTTGGTTATTTGTGCATTGTATTGCATGCCTCTTGTGTAGTGCCCTTTACTAGCTTTATGCTTTGGGCCTTCTACCATGCCTTACTTGTGATATTTATGTGATATGGCATCATTAAACACGCTATTTCAGAGCATATAGCCTTGTCATATTCTCATATTTATCACTCTTTGATTGTGTTTAAGAGTTGTGTCTCATGCCTTGTTGAAGAGTCAATGCATGAGCATCATTATCTTGCCTTTCATGCTACCATTTCAGAGCATTTTGGCCATTGTTTTGGCATGCATAAGGTCTGTTTAGGGTTGGTTTGGTCCATTGAGCATTGTATTGCATAGTCCTTGTGTGGTGTCCTTCACTAGTTTCAATGCCTAAGGACCCTAACATGCTATACTTGTGTTGTTTGCATGATATGTCACCATTTGGTATATGATTTCAGTGCCTATATCTCTGCCATACTCTCTTATTCATCACTCTTTCATCGTGTTTGAGAGTTGTGTTTAATGCCTAGCTTGCGAGCCAATGCATGAGTATGTTGTTGTAGCTTTTGGTGCTTCATTTCCAACATGATTTTGGCCACTGTTTTGGAGCATCTTAGGTTTGTCCATATGTGGTATGACCATTTGTGCCATGTATTGCATGCCTCATGCGTAATACACTTCACTAGTTTTGATGACTTAGCTTCTAAACATGTCTTGCATGCATTGCTACATGATAGAGTCTTTGGCATGCCATTTTAGCATTGAAGGATGATCATCTTGTTTGCATTGCCTTGTGTTTGGATCGGACATTAATCCAAACACAAGGAATGTGGCACGTTTCATACTCAAAGTGATGAAACGTGTTGTGTTTCTTGGTCACCGACCCTCTTGATCATGCATGATAGAGGCGGAGGCTCTTATGTGTTGTTTGTGCATTCACTAATATTGTGCGAGCTTGGCTCTTTGGCCATCATGCATTGAGATACGTGATTGGTGGCTTGAGAGTCGAGTACTATGTTCATTTGAGCTTGAGAAATGATAAGGAGAGTAGTTGCACACACATTTCCTTGTAAATGCATTGTTGTGCTTTTGTTGATCCCTGTTGCAGCAAAGTTGAGGTTCTAGAAAGGGAAGTGGCCGGCCGGCCACTTTAACTCGCCTGCCGACCACTTGAAGTGGCCGGCCGGCCAATTGAAGTAGCCTGTCGACTAGTTAAAGTGGCCGGCCGGCCACTTGCAACAAAATTTTCCAAAATGCTCCTATTTTGAGGCAGATGCAACCTAAAAGTGTGCTTGATGCTTTGAGGTCACCGCGA